TGGGGGACCCCAAGGGGGGACGGGACCCCCAAGGGGACCCCAAGAAAAGTGGGACGGGGGACCCCAAAGGGGGGATGGGGACCCCGAGGGGACCCTAAGCGGGAATGGGGACCCCAAGGGGGGATGGGGACTTCGGGGGGACCCCAAATTGGGACGGGGACCCCAAGGGGGGGATGGGGACCTCGGGGGGACCTAAGGGGGAATGGGGACACCCGAAGGGGGACGGGGACCCCGAGGGGACCCTAAGGGGGGACGGGGACCCCAAGGGGGGACGGGGACCCCCCTCACCGTCTCTCGACGTCCTTGACGGTCTCGGGCAGGGGCACGTTGCGGGTTTCGGGCAGGAAGCAGGTGGGATGGCCGAGACGATGGGGGCGGCCCCGTAGATGACGAGGGGCAGCACGGGGCTGACGTCGGCCGCCATGCGCACCAGGGGGGCCACCATGCTCCCCACCCGGGCCATGGTGCCCCCCAGGCCCATCCCCGTCTGCCTGCGCCGGGGAGAGGGAGAGGGTGGGCGGGAGGACGGACAGACGGACGGACAGACGGATGGGTGGACGGATGGAGGGTTTGATGATGGTTGGACAGACGGACGGACGGACGGACGGATGGATGGATGGATGGATGGATGGATGGATGGAGAGGTGGTTGGGTGGACAGACAGATGGGTGGAGAGGTGGTTGGACGGACAGACAGACGGACAGATGGGTGGAGAGGTGGTTGGGTGGACGGACGGATGGACAGATGGAGGGTTTGATGATGGTTGGACGGACAGATGGACGGATGGACAGACGGACAGATGGATGGAGGGGAGGTTGGATGGACGGACGGAGGGTTTGGTGGTGGTTGGACAGATGGACGGATGGACAGAGGGGTGGAGAGGTGGGTGGACGGATGGACGGATGGGTGGACAGATGGAGGGTTTGATGATGGTTGGACGGACGGACGGACGGACGGACGGATGGATGGATGGATGGGTGGAGAGGCGGTTGGATGGACGGACGGACGGAGGGTTTGGTGGTGGGTGGGTGGACAGACGGACGGACGGATGGGTTGAGGGATGGTGGAGAGATTGTTGGAGGGACAGACAGACGGACAGATGGGTGGAGAGGTGGTTGGGTGGATGGACGGATGGACGGATGGAGGGTTTGGTGATGGTTTGGACGGACGGACGGACGGACGGACGGATGGATGGATGGATGGAGAGGTGGTTGGGTGGACAGACAGACAGATGGGTGGAGAGGTGGTTGGACGGACAGACAGATGAACAGATGGAGGGTTTGATGATGGTTGGACGGACAGACGGATGGGTTGAGAGGTTATTGGATGGACAGACGGACATGGGTGGAGAGGTGGTTGGGTGGACAGATGGATGTGGAGAGCTTGATGACGGTTGGACGGACAGATGGACAGGTTGAGAGATGGGTGGAGAGGTGGTTGGATGGACAGACAGACGGACACATGGGTGGAGAGGTGGTTGGATGGACGGACAGACGGACGGACGGAGGGTTTGACGGTGAGAAATTTGGATGGATTCGTTGACCGACGGACGGATGCGGTGGGACGCGGGACGGACAGATGGACGGAGGGGTGGGTGGGTGGGTGGGGGGGGGTCTCGGGTGTTGAGGCAGCTCCGCGGGGGGGGCTGCTGCCCACCTGATGGCGGTCGGGAAGAGCTCCCCGGTGAAGATGTAGGCGCAGTTGAAGGAGGCGGCCAAGGAACCTTTGCCGACCACCGCCAAGGCCATGCGCAGGGTCTGCAGCTCTGGGGACGGCCACGGGGGTGGGGGGGGGGGTCACCAACCCCCCCAGACCCCCACCTCTGGAAGTCCCTCCAATTTTTCTCCCCACCCCTCCAACTGTTCCTCCCCCACCCTCCATCTCCCCATTCCACCACCTCGCCCACCTCCCCCTCGCCCTCCCTCCATCTCTCCGTCCCCCCCGGGTCCGTCCCGGCGCCCACCCGTGGGCACGATGATGTTGGCGAGGATGCAGACCCCCGCCAGCCCCAAGGAAGCCCCCTGGGCCACCCGGCGCCCGGCACCGCTGATGGTCAGGACGGAGGCCAGCTTGGCCGGGATGTCCACCGCCGCAAACACCAGTTGGCTCAGGTAGATGTCCACCCCGAAGCCCTGCAGGTCCATGGCCAGCCCGTAGTAAGCGAAGCTGGTAGAGAACCTGCCCAAAAACCCAGCGTTTCAACCCAAAACCCACCAGGCATGCCCAAGTGCCCGGAAGGCGGGCTTTGGCCTTCAAAGGTGGTTTTGAGCGCCAAAAGGTGGCTTTCGGCTTCCAAAAATGGTGGGTTTTAAACCCCGAGTTGGGTTTTAAGGTCCAAAAGGTGGCTTCTGTCCCCAAAAAAGGTGTTTTAGGCCCCCCAGAGTTGGGTTTGGAGTCCCAGAAGTTGAGTTTTGAGCCCCAAAGTTCGGGTGTTGAGCCCTAAAGGTTGGGTTTGGAGCACCAAAGGGTGGGCATGGAGTCCCCAAAATGGCTTTGGAGCCTTAAAGGTTGGGTTTGGAGCCTTAAAGGTTGTTTTTTGGGCCTTAAAGGTTGTTTTTTGGGCCTTCAAGGTTGTTTTTTGAACCCAGAAGAATGGGTTTTGACCCCCCGAAGTTGTTTTTTTGAGCTCCAAAGGATGTTTTTTTTATTCCAAAAGGTGTTTTTGGGGCCTGAGGTGACCTTACCAGACGAAGGAGACGCCGCAGGAGACTGTCCTCATCCCGGGGGTACGGACCAGGGCGGCCAGGGCCCCCCCCGGCATCGGGGGCTCCCGGCGCACCAGCGCCCGCAGCGCCTGTGGGAGAGGGATCAAGGGATCAGGAGGGATCTGGAGGGACAGAAGGGATCTAGGGGGGACCTACTGGGAAATATGGGGGATCTACTGGGGGATACAAGGGATCTAGGGGGGGGTCTGGGCTATCTCGTGAGATGTAGTGGGCAAAGAAAGGAGCTGGGGGGGATCCGGGAGGATCTAGAGGGGCATCAGAGAGATCTAGGAGGGATCTGGGGGGATCTAGGAGGGACACGAGGCATTGGGGGGGTGGGGGGAGGAGGAATCCAGGCAGGAAATCTGAAGAGATCTAGGAAGGAAGCAGGGGATCCGGGAGATCTGGAGGGGATCCAGGAGATCTGGAGGGATCCAGGAGATCTGGAGGGGATCCAGGAGATCTGGAGGGATCCAGGAGATCAGGGGGTAATTAAGGGAGATCTAAGGGGGGGGGGCAGAGGTATTTAGAAGGGATAAAGGGGGTCTGGGGGTGGGGTTAGGATGGGTAGAGGGGAAATCGGGGATCTGGGGGAGAATGAGGGGAGCCTGGGAGGATCTGGGAGGGATTTAATGGGATCTGGGAGGGACCTCACCTCCTCGCTGAGCTTATCGCCCTCCTCCTTCCTCCCGTTGACGCGGGCGACTTTGCGGAGCCCCTTCAGGGCCAGGTCGGGTCGCCCCGAAATCACCTGCCAGCGGGCCGACTCCACGAACAGCCTGGGAAAGAGGGGGGACACGGGGTGAGACGGGGGGCGAGGGGCAAGACGGGGACCCCCGCGTCGTGCCCCCCCCCGCCTCCCAGCCTCCCCTCCGCGTCCCCGTACCAGGAGTAGAGGAAGAAGAAGAAGAAGGGGAGGGAGACGACGAGCTGGAGCCAGCGCCAGTGGGGGAGGCCGAAGGCTATGCCCGCCAGCACGAACTGCCCCAGGGTGTAGCAGTAGCCGTTGATGGTGCCCACCACCGCGCGCGCCTCCGTCGGGATCCACTCCATGCCTGGGGGTCACCGTCAGCATCTGGGCGCGCGGGGTCCCTCCCATTGGTGGTGGGACCCAACCCAACCAACAAGGTCCCTCCCATTAGTCAATGGTTTCGGGACCCAACCCAGACACCAGAACCCATCCCAAGGGTCAATGGTAGTAGGGTTGGAAGTGGACACCAAGGTTTGTCCCATGGGTTATGGGGCTGGAGATGGGTTTGTGGGGCCCTCCATGGGTCAATGGTGGTGGGGTTGGAAGTGGACACCAAGGTCTGTCCCATGGGTCAAGGGTGGTGGGACCCAACCCAACCAACAAGGTCCCTCCCATTAGCCAATGGTTTTGGGACCCAACCCAACCAACAAGGTCCTTCCCATTAGCCAATGGTTTTGGGACCCAACCCAGACACCAGAACCCATCCCAAAGGTCAGTGGTGGTGGGGTTGGAACTGGACACCAAGGTCTGTCCCATGGGTGTTGGGGCTGGAGATGGGTTTGTGGGGCCCTCCATGGGTCAATGGTGGTGGGGTTGGAAGTGGACACCAAGGTCTGGCCCATGGGTCAAGGGTGGTGGGACCCAACCCAACCAACAAGGTCCCTCCCATTAGTCAATGGTTTTGGGACCCAACCCAACCAACAAGGTCCCTCCCATTAGTCAACAGTTTTGGGACCCAACACAGACACCAGAATCCATCCCAAGAGTCAATGGTAGTAGGGTTGGAACTGGACACCAAGGTCTGTCCCATGGGTGTTGGGGCTGGAGATGGGTTTTTGGGGCCCTCCATGGGTGGTGGAACCCAACGTGGATGCCGGGGGCCTTCCAATGGGTCAATGGTGGTGGGGTTGGAACTGGACACCGAGGTCTCTCCCATGGGTCAGTGGTGGTGGGACCCATGGGTCAATGGTTTTGGGACCCAACCCGGCCACCAGGGTCCCTCCCAGGGGTGGTGGAACCCAACCCACACCAGGGTCCCCAGCTCACAGAGAGAAGCGGAGTTGAGGGACACGCCGGCCATGGCCAGGCCCCCCAGGAAGCGGCAGAGGCAGTAGATGACGAACGTGGGGGCGGCCGCGGTGCCGGCCCCCGCCGCCCCCAGCTGCAGGTAGCACCAGGTGAGCAGCGCCCGGCGACCAAACCTGCTGGGACACGGCGCTGGGGGAACTGGGAGCACTGGGATGGGAGGGTACGGGGTGCTGGGATGCCGATATGGGACACTGAGATAGGGGAAGTGGGCGCTGGGATTATGGTGCTTTGGGATGGGGACAAAGGGCACTGGGGATACTGGGGTGGGGACATGGGGCACTGGGATGGAGACAAAGGGTGGTGGGATGGGGACATGTGGTGGTGGGATGGGGCCATGGGGCACTGGGATGGGGACATGGGGCACTGGGATGGAGACAAGGGTCACTGGGATGGAGACAAGGGTCACTGGGATGGGGACATGGGGTGCTGGAAGTACTGGGACAGGGACTTAGACCACTGGGAAGACTGGAATGGGGGACTATGGATACCGGGGATACTGGGATGAGAAACAGGGACACTGGGGGACAGAAGGCAGGAAGGATGTCCCTGCACGTGCCCGTCCGCCCTCCCTACTCCCAGTTCCTCCCAGTTCCTCCCAGTACAGCAGCAGGCCAGCTACATACTTGTCGGAGAGGACCCCGAAAAAGCCGGAGCCCAGGAGGATCCCGGCCATGTAGATGGACTGGGCCACCTGCCGCAGCTTCTTGGACTCGCACACCAGGTCCCACTGCCACCGGGGTAGGGGGGGAGGACATGGGGAGGGGGTCAACGGACACCCGTGTGCCCTCCCCCCCACCCCCCAGTGCCCACCGTCCGCCCCTCACCTCGCTGATGATGGTGTGGGCGAAGACGCCGTCACGGTAGGTCCACCCGTCGTGGCACGGCTCGGTGGCCGCCCCGGTGGCCGTGCCGTTGGCCGTGCCGTTGGTCTCCAAGAGGTGCCACTGGGGCTCCACGTAGCGGCGGCAGCGCTGGGGGCGGTGGTGGTCATCGGAGGGGATGGAGACAAAGAGGGGGACGTCGCCGATGCTGTCGTTGGCCACCGGCCGGGGCCGGCAGTGGTGCTCGGGGATGCCGGCGGTGAAGTTCTGCAGAAGGTTGTGGCTGGCCAGCATCAGCAGAGGAAAGGCCAGCGCGGCCACGTAGGTCACCTGGAAGCGTCCCATCCCGCCCAGGCGGGTCAGCAGCTCCACGAAGGACATGGCGGGACGAGGGATGGAGCTGGGGGGGGTCCCCGGGCCGGCTGGGGGTGGGAGGAAGAGGAAGGGTTGGAGGAAGGATGAGGAACGGCGGAGGAACGGGCAAGGGGTTGCATGGAGGAAGGGGTGAAGGAAGGGCCGAGGGGTGGAGGAGGGCACCCAAAGGGTGGTTTGGAGGAAGGGGGCGAGGGACAAGGCGAAGAAGGGACCAGGAGAAGGAGGAGGGAGGCTGAGGATGGAGGCCCGAGGGGATGAAGGACAGCGGAGGGCCAAGATGGGCCAAGGGACGGACAGAAGGGTGCGCCAAGGGACAGCCCCACGGAGGGACACGGGATGGGCAGAGGGGTGGTTGAGAAGATCGGGGGGGGGGAGATCAAGGGAGGATCATCTGCTGATTGATCCATTGATCTACCAAGCCATCCGTCTATTGATCTGTCCATCTATTGATCTGTCCATCTATTGATCTGTCCATCTATTGCTTATCGGTCTCTCTATTGGTCTACCAGTTGACCTATCGATCTGGCAGCCGATCAGTCTGGTGATCTATCAGGCTCTCTGGTGATCAGTCTATCAATTGATCTATCAGTCTATCAGTTGCTCTATCGATCAATCAGTATCAATTGATCGATCTATCTGTGTATCAATCTGTCAATCACAACCAACCGGTGTCATTATCAAGCTCTCAAGCTCTATTGATCTATCAAGGTGTCTGTTGATCAGTCCCTCTGTCAATTCATCAGTCTATTGATCTATCAGTCTGTCAATTCATCAATCTAACAATCTGATCAATTGATCTGCCCACTAATATGCCAGCCTATTGATCACGGGCTATTTATTTCTCACTGTCGGCTCTGCTCCTTGCTGCTCTCCCTCCTCCTCCTCCCTCCCTGCCATGTTATCGATCAATCACTCAATTGATTGATCAATTTTATCACCCACCTGTCCTACCAGTGGCTCTGGCCCTCCAATGATGGCTCCTGATTGATCGATCGATTGATTGCTGGCTGCTGTTTCGCCCTCCTCCCTCTCTCTGCTGCTCCCTCGTCTCCGTCTCGATCTGCCACCCACTGTCCCTCCGTCCGTCCCTCCCTCTGTCCGTCCCTCCTTCTGTCCGTCCCTCCCTCCCTCTGCCACTCCCATTCTCTTCCCCCGGCCTTCCTTCATCCCTCTGTCAATCAATCAATTGATTAATCAATGGCTTTAGCACCCCACCGTGCCACCCATCGTCCCTCCAGAGGCTGTGTCCTCCTGTCCCTCTGCCCATAGTTCATATCAACTCCTTATTCTGTCAAGTGATTGATCTCTCTGCTGATCAATCAATCTATTGGGCTGCACTGGTCTATTGATCAACCTGTTGATCTCCCCTTGTCTCTGTTGATTCTATCTGTTGGACTCCCTGGTGATCAGTCTCACTTTCTCTCGCTATTGAGCTTTATATTTCTATTATTTATAACTTATCAAATATCAGTTGGTCCATGATCTCCCTCTTTATTGATCAGTCTATCAGTACTTATGTTTCTATTGAGCAACCCACTAGTCTATTGATCAATTTATTGATCTATAATTGATCTATTTGACATTTAATTGAGATTTAATCCTTCTATTGTCCTGTCTGTGATTGATCTACCCACCCATCATAAATCAATCAATGCGCTGGGCTATAAAGTCTCATTCTAGTGACAACTCTGTTGGTCGATTTTTTAGCTATAATCTAGCTATTGATCAATCTATTGATCTCTCCATCTCAGACTCTTGGCCTATAATCTCTCTATTGACCAATAGATTGACCTTAATTTCTATTTTGTCTCTCTATCGGTCAATCCATTGGTCTCTCTTGATCAATGTGATGAACGTAATCTATTGATCAGTTTATAATCTGAATCTTTCCATCACTCACTCTATTGACCTATAACCTTCCTGTGGCTCAGCCTATCGGTGTCTCTCTCCCTGCTGATCAGTCCCTTGGTCTCTCCCTCCCAATCAGCGTATTGATCTCTATCGACCCACTCACCTCTCCGTCACTCCAGCTCCCTCCTGACCTCTTCCAGCACCGAATCCTGCTCCCGGATCCGTCCGCCAGCGGCTACGACCCCTTGGCCCCACGGCTGCCCATGGCCACGTCCCCGTCCCTGTCCCCGATTCTATTTAAAGCCACCCTGGCCCCAGTTAACGTTTGACTTCCTCGGGGCCAGCTCCTGCTCTGGGTCAGTGGAGCTGTTCATCAGACGGAAACGCCGGCGCCAGTCGCGCCGATCCCTGCCTGGGGATGCCCAACGTCTCCCCGGGGACCTCCCATCCTCTCCATCCTCTTCCTCACCGAGGAAGCCCCCATCCCCAGCAGAGAGGGACCCCCTCAGCTCCTCCCCAGGCTTGTTTTTGCCATCGACGGTGGTTGATTTGCCCTGGCAATTGGGGCAAAGTCCTGGGGTCTCTGAACCGGATCGGTGGGGGGGACCTCTTGGACCCCGGGGCAGGAGGGCAGCGGGAGGCAGCGAAGCACGGCCAGGATGTGGGGAAGTGACCGGAGGCCAGGGGGACCTGACGGGGACGGGTCCGAGGGAGGGTGCAGGGGAGGCAGGAGGCACCCGTCCTCAGCACCTGGAGCAGAGGGGGCCTTGGGTGCTGGGAAAGTGGGTGCCTGGGTCATGGGGACACCTGGTTGCAAGGGGACATGATGGTCCTTGGGGACACCATGGCCCTTGGGGACAGCTGGGTTCTGGGGGACAGCTGGATTTTTGGGGACGCCCTTGTTCTTGGGGACACCGTTGTGCTTGGGACAGCTAGGTTCTTGGGGACAGAGGGGTTTTTGGGGACACCCGAAATTTGGGGACATCCTGGACCTTGGGGACAGCTGGGTTTTTGGGGACACATGAAAGATTCTTGGGGACACCCAGAGCCTTGGGGACACCCAGAGCCCTGGGGACCACCTGGGACCTTTGGGACACCCAGGTCCATGGGGACACTTTGGTCCTTGGGCCATCTGGATCCCAGGGGACACCCCGGTCCTTGGGGACATCTGGGTCCTCCTGCACCCATCTCCCTTCCTCAGCCTCCGTTGAGGCTCCGGCCAGAGGGGAGGAGGGGATGGGGACAGGGATGCGATGCCGAGGCCGCGGGACCCAGCTGGGACCCGTGTTTGCCTTCGGGGCGGGACGGCCGGGCCAGGCAGGACCCCCGCGGCCGTGGGAAAACAACCCCCCCCCCTCCCTCCCCCCAAGCCTCCCACCGGCTGACCCGTTCCGCCCGCGTTTTGCACGATTTTGCTTTTATTTGTTTTCACTGCGGCACAGAAGAAGAAGAAAAGAAAAAAAAAGCAACAAAAAAACACCACGAAGAGGAGGAGGAGGAGGAGGAGGAGGGGGAGATGTGGTCCCCCCCAACATGGAGAAAGGGACACCCTGATGCCTGTGTCCCCTCCTTGGCCGTGGCCACTGCTGTCCCCTCGCTCCTCTGGGGGACGCACCCCACCAGCTCCTTCCTCTGGGAGGTTGTGGCAAGGGTTGGGGGATTGGGGGGGGATTTGGGGGGATCCTGGGGTGGGTAGGGGAGGTGTTAGCAGGGCTCTGTGGTGCCCCCAGGTGTAGGGTCAGGCTGGGTGGGTTGGAGGGGGAGCTGCTGGGCTTCGTCTGCCTTGGTCCGGGTCCGGGTCCGGGTCCTGGGGGGCCAAGGAGGACGAGGTGAGGAGGGGGGAGGCTGGGTGGGTTTTCACGCTGCTGTCCCCCCCAACCCATCACGCCCAACAACCCCCTTTTTTCCCACCCCTTGCCCTGTCCTCCTCCCACCGTCCTGCCCACCGGTCCTCCCCCCCCACCCACGTGTCCCTCCCCCGCCTCCATCCCTCCCATCCCACCTGTCCTCCACCTCCTCCACGGACTCGGGCAGGGCCATGTCCCTTGTCTCCGGCAGGAAGATGGCCACCAGTCCCGACACCACGGGGGCGGCCCCGTAGATGATGAAGGGCAGCACGGGGAAGACCTCACCCACCATCTTCACCAAGGGCGCCGTGATGCTGCCCAGTCGGGCCATGGTGTTGGCCAGCCCCATGCCCGTCTGCCTGTGGGATGCGGGGAGGTGCTGAGGGACCACCCCGATGCGGTCCCGGCCACCCCGGCGGCTCCTACGACCCTCACCCCGCTCCTTACCGAATCACGGTGGGGTAGAGCTCACCCGTGTAGAGGAAGACGCAGTTGAAGGAGGCAGCCAAGCAACCCTTCCCGAAGACGGCCATGGCGGTCCGGAGCGTCCGCAGCTCTGTGGGGACAAAGACGGGGCTCCTGGGACTCACTTAGGTGGGGTTGGGTAGGGGAGGCGCGGTGTCGGAGACTGGAGACCCACCTGCCCCCGCCACTCGGCCCCCAGCCCGTACCTCGTGGCACCAAGATGTTGGCCAAGATGGCCAAGCCCGCCAGGATGAGGGCGAGGGACTGGGTGAAGCGTCGCCCGACGAAGGTGATGGTGAGGACGGAGACCAGCTTGGCCGGGAAGTCTACGGCCCCAAAGATGAGCTGGATCACGTAGATGTTGACGTCAAAGTTTTGCAGGTCCATGGCCAGCCCGTAGTAGGCAAAGCTGGTGGAGAACCTGGGCCGGGAAGAGGTGAGGTGGGCAAATCTCACAAACAAAGAGGTTTGGGGTGGGCTACGGGGGTTGCCCACCATGTCTTGGCCCATGGGATGCAGCCAGGGAATCTGTGTCCCTTCCTGGAGCTTGTGAGCACCAAGAGGCCTCGGTTGACTTAGTCCTGTGCCGTGACTCAGTTTCCCTTTCCAACATGGACCCAGCTAAGATGTGTGGATGGGGAACAGTGTTTGGAGGGAGCAGAGAGATCAACAAACGAGAGGGCAGACGGACAACCCCCCACTCGTGTCCTCCAGGCTTACCACACGAAGCAGAGGCAGCAAGAGATGCGGCGCACGACGGGCGTCCGGACCAGGTCAAACACCGTGTGGTGGCTCCTCGACGAGGTCATCTCCTTCTGCATGTAGGACTTCAAGGCCTGGGGGGGAAAGAGAGGGCCTCTGGGGTGGGGATGGGGCACTGAGGTTGCTTGTGGGGGGCAAGGTGGAGGAGCAGAGGGGGAAACCAGGGTGGAGAACCTCTCACCACCCTACAAAACACACCAGAGATGCTCTGGTCAGAGCCTCTTACTTCTATGTCCAGCTTGTCCCCTTCCTCTTTCTTCCCATTTATCCTGGCCACTTTCTGGAGCTCCTTCAAGGCCTGCTGGGACTTTCCCACCATGACCATCCAGCGAGCTGACTCTGTTAACCACCTGGGGAGGAGGGGGGGGGTGGCAGGCGCATCCCACGGGGATCATCCCTCTGTCTTGCTGACCCCTCCACCAGCGAGCCACCCCTTCATCCACCCACCCAACCATCCAACCGTTCACCCATCCAACCATCCACCCATCCACCCACCCAACCATCCACCCATCCACCCATCCAACCATCCAACCATCCACCCATCCAACCATCCACCCATTCACCCATCCACCCATCCAACCAACCAACCATTTACCCATCCACCCACCCAACCATTCACCCACCCAACCACCCACCCACCCAATCATCTACTCATCCATCCACCCAACCACCCAACCACCTACTGATCCATCCAACCACCCAACCAACCCTGTGCCACCCACCCACGCCACCCTATGCCCTCCCACCCATCCCTCCCACCCACCCCTCCATCCCTTCACCCTCTCCTCCTCACCATGAGTAGAGGAAGAAGCCAAAGAAGGGCAGTGACACCGTGAGCTGCAACCACCGCCAGTCAGGGACGGCGTAAGCGATGCCGGCCAGCAGGAACTGCCCGGTGGTGTAGCAGTAACCCATGAAGGTCCCCACGATCGCCCGCGTGCGAGTGGGCATCCACTCCAGGGCTGCCGAGACACGCGCGTGTGACTTGGGGCAGGCTGGGAGGACACCCTGGGGACGGACACCTTGGGGCTGGGGGTGGCCACGTACAGAGGGAGACGCTGTTGAGGACGATGCCGGAGAAGGCTGTGCCCGTGAGGAAACGGAAGAGGCAGTAGACGGTGAAAGTGGGGGCGAAGGAGGAGCACGTCCCCATGACGCCCATCTGCAGGTAGCACCAGGTGAGCAGCGACCGGCGGCCAAACCTGGCCGGGAGAAGGCGGTGAGGTGGCCCTCGTGATGCTGACCCACCTCTACACCCCCTGTTCCCCCCCCCGAGGACAAAGTGTCCCCCCCTCACCTGTCCGAGAGGCCCCCAAAGACGATGCCGCCCACCAAGACGCCGGCCATGTAGAGCGATTGGGCCAACTGCTTCAAGCCCCGGGAGCTGCACACCAGATCCCACTGCCGAGGGGCAAGGATGTGGGGGTGGGACAGGGATCGGGGGGACCCCCCCTGCCTCTCTGCTGCCCCCCAAGACTGGCCTCAGCAGCCGGTAGGGTTAATCCAACACCATGGCCAACAGCCACGGCAGCTGGTAGGGTTGATCCAACGCAACGGCCAATGGAAAGAAACGCCAAGAAGGTGCCAAGAAACACGGCCGCCCTCCCCAGAATCCCCATAGCTGGAAGACACCTTCATGGGTTCATCCAGCCCCTTTTTGACCCTCCCTTGAGAAAACCAACTCCCTCATCCCTCCCTTTCTTGTGCAGCACTGAGTGCCTCCAACGAGGGTTGAGCAAGGAAGATGCTCTAGTTGGAAGAAGCCAACATCATGATGGCAGCAGACCCTTCACCGGTGCCCCCAGGTAGGAACCATGCCCATGAGTGAGGGAAACGTGCCACCAGCCCCAAATCTCCCCCCCACCACTGCCTCCACCCTACCTCCGTGATGATGGTGCTGGTGAAGACGCTGCGGTCATAGGTCCAGCCGTCGTGGCAGGGCTCCGTCTCCAACCAGCTGTCGTTGGGGGCCGAGCCGTTGGCCTCCAGAAGCCACCACTGCGGCTTCACAAAGCGCCGGCACCGCTCGCCACGGGGGACCGAGACCCTCAGCAGGTCCTGGGGGTCCAGGCTGGTGGCATTGGCCTCCCAGTGGAGCCGGCAGTGGTGGTCGCTGGTGGCGGCCGTGAAGTTCTGCAGGAGGTTGTGGCTGGCCATCATGAGGACGGGCATGGCCAGGAGGATGACCGAGGCCACCTGGAAGCGCCCCATGCCCCCCACATGCTCCAGGAGGTCGGCAAAAGCCATGCTGCCACCGCGAGCCCCCGGGAGCGCCTTGCGATGGCCTCCCCAGCCATGCACGCCCACCCACTGGCAGAGCCCCAAAAGGGATAGATTTCACCCCAGAAACTCTTCTCTCCCTCCTGCAGCGTCCGTGCTCCACAAGCGCCCAGGATGGTCTCCTATATAACCCAGCCAACGGTGGCTTTGGTTAACGTTTGACGTCCTTTTTCTGGTGATTTTCCAAAGGGATAAGGCAAAGGCGGGTGGGGAAAATCCAGAAATCTGGGGCAGGCAGAAAATAATTCTCTTTCCCTTTTCTCTCTCTCTTTTTTTTTATTTTTTTCTTTTTCTCTTCCCCTCAGTGTTGATTTTCTGGGGGAGAAAGGAAGCTTTTGGAGAGGGGCAGGGTGAATCTGGGACCAACCTGCCTCACCTGGTGTACCCGAAGAGGTGGGCATCCTGGAGAGGGGGCTTCTGGCCCTGGCCAACGCGTGGCCTTCACTGGCACCATCAGGTTAAATTTTAGCGATTCTTTTTTTGTGGTCAAAAGGGGACCAAAAGGTGCTGACGGAGGTGGCCCTGCTTGGGTCAGTGCCTTCACCGCCTGGGGAGGCTGGGGGTTAATTTTTGATGGGATCGGGACCAAGGGTACACGTCGGCACCAGGAGCAAGGGCCAGGTTGGCCCAGCAGGAAGTCGGGGAAGGGGCATGGTGGGAAAAGCCCCGTGGGTTGCTGGAAGGGGCTGGGCTAGCCTCTGGTGGGGGGGGGGGGGCATTCCTCATGGGATTTGGGGGCCCCTCCAGTGAGACAAGAGTTGGGTGGGTTGAACGTCATCGGGTGTCGTCTTGGTGGAGGTGACCTCAAACATGGCACTTCTTGGGCATCATCTTCCTGGAGGAGACCTCAGTTGGGTTTCATCCGAGGGGAGGCAACCTGAGAAACTGGTCTGGGGTCTCATCATACCAGAGGTGACCTGGGGGACAAGGTTAGGTGGGGTTTTATTGAAGGTGACCCCAACATGGTGTCCTTTGGGTGTCATCGCACTGGAGGTGACCTCAGGGACCAGGTTATTTGAAGGTGGCCCCCACCACGGGGTCCCTTGGGTGTCATCCCACTGGAGGTGACCTCAGGGACCAGGTTTCTGGATGGCATCTTACTGGAGGTGACCTCGGGGACACTGCTTTTGGGCATCACCTTCCTGGCAGTGACCTCAGACGTGGTCATGGGGTGTCACCTCGTTGGAGGTGGCCTCACATAACACCAAGACACCATCCCCTGGCAGAGCTCCTTTATTCCTCCGAGGACTTCCCCTGCCCCACACGGGGAAGCCACCTGACGTGGGGCACGCGGTGAATTCAAGCCCGTCCCCAACCCAGGGCTGCAGGAACCCGCCAGGAACGCCGCCCCCATCCGGGTCCCTCAGGGCTCCTTCGGCGGGGCCTTGTCCTGGGGCTGCAGGGGGATCTTCTCTTTGAGGTTGGCTGTCTTCTTCTGCTTGGCCCTGGAGGGAGGCAGATGAGAGGTCAGCAGCAGGAGGAGGGTCCACGGGGCATGGCAGGACCTTGTCCATCTGTCTGTCCAGCCATTCATTCGCTCTTCTGCCAACGTTCCCACCCAGTTGTCCACCCCCCAATTCATCCGTCTGTCCCTCCACCCCGTCCTCCTCCACTCTGGCCATCCTCCAATCCAGCTGGCCTCCTCCAACCCACCTGTCCTCCATCACACCTTCATGTCCTCTCCCGTACCTGTCCATCCCCCCATCCTCTGATCCACCTGCCCATCCTCCTCCAGTCCACCCATCTGTCCTCCTCCAATCCACCCGTCCACCCTCTTCCAATCCACACATCCCCCAGTTGACCTGCTCGGCCTCCTCCAATCCACTCGGCCTCCAAGCTACCCACCCAACCCAGCCAACCTCAACCCCACCCATTCTCCTACCACCCCATCCCCCTGTGAGCCCACTCATCCATCCATCCGTCCATCCATCCGTCCGTCCGTCCGTCCGTCCGTCCATCCATCCACTCATCCATCCATCCGTCCATCCGTCCGTCCATCCATCCATCCATCCATCCGTCCATCCATCCATCCGTCCATCCATCCATCCATCCATCCATCCGTCCATCCATCCACCCGTCCACCCGTCCACCCGTCCATCCGTCCATCCGTCCTTCCCACCTGCTCTCCACCTCCTCGATGGTATCGGGCAGCGGTGCGTTGAGGGTCTCCGGCAGGAAGCCAGCCGCCACGGCCGCCACGATGGGGGCCACCCCATAGACGGCGGGGGGCAGGAAGGGGTAGTACTCGTCCATCATCTTCACCAGCGGCGCCACGATGCCGCCCACCCGGGCCATGGTGCTGCCGAAGCCCAACCCGGTCTGCCTGCGGGGCACCGCGGGGGTCAGCGTGGGGCAGGGACCCCCTGGGGGTGTCAACGAGCCCCATGGGGTGATGGGAAGAGTTTTGGTTTTTGTTTTGTTTTTGGTTTTTTACCTGATGGGAGTGGGGTAAAGCTCGGTGGTGTAGAGGAAGACGCAGTTGAAGGAGGCGGAGAGGCAGCCCTTGCCAATGACGGCCAGCGCCGTGCGCACCGTCTGCAGCTCTGGGGCAGAGAGGGGCACGGGGTGGGCTCCGCGCCGGGCCGGGAGCCCCCCAGCCATGGGGCGGTGGTGGGGTGGGACACAGGATGGCGTCTCGCCATCCGCGGAGCTATTCGAGAGCCTTCTGGGCCACTGGGTGCAGTTTGGGTGGCCGACGGAGGCACCCGGGATCGCGTGCCATGGGTGGGTGGCAAGGTGGGGGGCACCCCGTTAAATATCTGGAGAGGGGCCGGAGGGGTGGACGCCACCCGCCCCACCACCACCCCGGGCCACCCACCTGTGGGGACAAAGATGTTGGCAATGATGACCAGCCCTGCGAAGAAGAGGGCCACCATGAGGGACACCCGCCGGCCGATGTAGCTGAGGGACACGGTCACCACCACTTTGGCTGGGAAGTCGACGGCACCGAAAATCACCTGGATGAGGTAAATGCTGACGCCGAAGTTCTGCAGATCCATGGCCAGCCCGTAGTACGAGAAACTGATGGAGAACCTGGAGAGGAGCAGGGAGAGAGGCCCGTCAGAGGTCTTTAGGTGGGGTGACCTTCCCACCACCCTGGGATGTCATTGCCATGTGGGACAGCGGGGTCAGACGGGGAGGAGGGCTGTGCTATGGCTGGATGGATGGCTTCATGGATTGGCTGTCCATCCAACCATCATCCAACTATCCAACCAACCAACCATCCATCCATCCAACCATCATCCAACCATCCAACCAACCAACCATCCATCCATCCAACCATCATCCAACCATCCAACCAACCAACCAACCATCCATCCATCCAACCATCATCCAACCATCCAACCAACCAACCATCCATCCATCCATCCAACCATCCGTCCATCCATCCATCCATCCATCATCCAACCATCATCCAACCATCCAACCAACCAACCATCATCCAACCAACCATCCATCCATCCAACCATCCATCCATCCATCCATCCATCCATCCATCCATCCATCCATCCATCCATCCATCCATCCATCTCTTCTCCACCTTATCCCCACCAGACTTCCCCAGCCCGGCCCAGCCCCACCAGACGATGGAGAGGCAGAAGAAGATGTGGCGGATGACCGGGGTCCGAACCAGGTCGGAGATGGTGTAGGAGGACTTCAGACCGGCCAACTCCTCCTTCATGTTGGACCTCAGGTTCTGGAAAGGTGGAAACCAGGAAAGGTGAAGGGAGGGCACAGGAAAACCAAGACCACTCTGGCTCAGAGCTCCCCCCCGGTGGGGCCACAATACCTCCACTGTGATCTTCTCCCCTTCCTCCTTCTTCTTATTGATCCTGGCCACCCGCTGCAGGACCTTCACGGCCCTCTCGGCCTTCCCCGAGAGCACCAGCCAACGAGCGGACTCAGCCAACCACCTGCGGCCAGCAAGGGGGGGAAACTGAGGCACAAAGAGGGGCGAGGAGAGCTCCACGTGTCCCCAGGGCCTCCCCGGTGGTGGGACCCAGGCGTCCTACCAGGAGTAGAAGAGGAAGACAAAGAAGGGCAGGGAGACGGTGAGCTGGAGCCAGCGCCAGTGGGGGACGGCGTAGGCCAGGCCGGCCAGCAGGATCTGGCCCAGGGTGTAGGCAAAGCCGGTGATGGCCACGGTGACGGCACGGTAGGGCGTGGGGATCCACTCCACCACTGCAAAGGACCACGGGGACACGGCTGACTTGGCGTCCCCTCTCTGTGATCCTCCTCGTGCATGTGGCCACCCTCTCGTGTTCAGATGTGTCCCCATCACGCGGCCCCCTACGTGGCCTTCATGATGTCCCTACTGGGATGGTCCCATCAGCAGGTAGAGGAACGTCCCCCTTCTTGGCCTTTGGGTTGTCCCCATCATGGCCATGCTGATGTCCCCATCCACGGCCATCTGGACATCCTCACCCATGGCCATTGAGGTGTCTCCACCATGGCCACTAGGATGTCCCCAACATGGCCATGTTGATGTCCCCATCCATGGCCATCAGGTTGTCCCAATCCATGGCCACTGGGTTGTCCCTCCCGTGGCCATCGGGATGTCTCCACCATGGCCATCAGGTTGTCCCCATCTATGGCCATTGAGGTGTCGCCACCATGGCCACTAGGATGTCCCCAACATGGCCATGCTGATGTCCCCATCCATGGCCATCAGGTTGTCCCCATCCATGGCCATTGAGTTGTCTCCACCATGGTCATGTTGATGTCCCCACCATGTCTATCAGGATGTCCCCATCCATGGCCATCGGGTCGTCCCTCCCATGGCCATCGGGACGTCCCCACCACGGCCAACCCTGTCCCCGTCCCCTCACCCAGGCAGGCGATGCTGAGGCCGAAGCCGGAGAGGGCCATGCCTCCGGCGAAGCGGAAGACGCAGTAGGAGGCGTAGTTGGGGGCGAAGGCCGTGCACGTCCCCATCACCCCCAGCTGCAGGTAGGACCACATCAGCATGGCCTTGCGCCCGAACCTGCGACAGGGAAGCAGCGGGTGCCACCAGGGGCCACCAGGCAATGGTGGCACTGCCCGACGTCCACGGGGAGAAACTGAGGCACGGGGAGGGGTCGGCTGCTGCCCTTACTTGTCCGAGAGGCCCCCCAGGAC